TAGTAGTAGTAGTAGTAGTAGTAGTAGTAGTAGCAGTAGTAGTAGTAGTAGTAGTAGAAGCAGCAGTGGTAATTGTACTAGTAGTAGTGGTAGTAGTAGTAGTAGTAGTAGTAGTAGTAGTCGTCGTCGTCGTCGTCGTCGTCGTAATAGTAGTCGTAGTCCTAGCCGTCGTCGTTGCCAACGCAATCTTAGTAGTAGTAGTAGTAGTAGTAGTACTGCTACTACTACTACTACTACTACTACTAGCCGTGGCAATCGTAAGCGTAGTAGTAATCGTAGTAGTCTTGGCAGTAGCGATAATAGTAGCGGTGCCAGCATTATTCGGAGTGTAGTCGTAATAGTAGTAGTAGTAGTAGTAGTAGTAGTCGTCGTAGTAGTAGCAGTAGAAGTAGCACTGGTAGTAGTAGTAGTAGTAGTAGTAGTCGTCGTCGTCGTCGTCGTCGTCGTCGTATTTGTCCCAGTAGTAGTGGTAGTGGCAGTAGTAGTGGCAGCAGGGGTAGTAGTAGTAGCAGTTGCGTTTGTAGTAGCAGCAGTCGTAGTAAATGCAGTAGAGGTGGTACTAGTAGTAGTAGTAGTAGTAGTAGTAGTAGTAGTAGTAGCAGCTGTGGGCCTTGTAGTAGTGGTCGCAGTATTACTGGTAGTCGTAGTCGCCGTCGCCGTCGTAACGGTAGTCGTAGTCGTAGTCGTCGTCGTCGCCAACGTAGTAGTAGTAGTAGTAGTAGTAGTAGTAGTAGTAGTAGTAGTAGTAGTAGTAGTAGTCGTAGTCGTAGTAGAAGTAGAAGTAGAAGTAATAGTAGCAGTAGTAGTTTTAATAGTAGCAGCAGCAGTAGTACTAGTCGTGGCAATCGTAAGCGTAGCAGTAATCGTAGTAGTAGTCGTAGTCGTAGTAGTAGTAGTAGTAGTAGTAGTAGTAGTAGTAGTAGTAGTAGCAGTAGCGATAGTAGTGGCGGTGCTAGTGGTAGTCGGAGCGGTCGTAGTATTAGTAGCAGTAGTCGTAGTAGGAGAAGTAGTAGTAGTCGTGGTGGTCGTAAATGTAGTAGAAATCGTAGTCGTAGGAGTAGTGCTAGTAGCAAGAGTGGTAGTAGTAGTAGTAGTAGTAGTAGTAGTAGTAGTGGTAGTAGTGGTAGCAGTAGTCGTAGTAGCAGTAGAAGTAGCCGTCGTAATCTTATCATTATTACTATTATTCCCAACCCTCCTTGGTTGGGTATTCGTTTTGAATAGAGCAGTGTGGTCGCGTCCCTTCTCCCTTCTCCCGCCTCCCGCCTCCCGCCTCTTCTTGTCTTGCCTGCGGGGGGCTGCGATCTGTGAAACTGTCGCCACTTTCGAGGCCTGTTGGGGGGTCCTGCATAGAGGGTAACCGCGGCAGATCCAAATTAGACCTCGCCATCCCTGGGGGGCTGCGATCTGTGAAACTGTCGCCACTTTCGAGGCCTGCTGGGGGGTCCTGCATATAGGGTAATCGCGGCGGATTCAAATTAGACCTCGCCATCCCTGGGGGGCTGCGATCTGTGAAACTGTCGCCACTTTCGAGGCCTGCTGGGGGGCCCAGCACAGTGGGTACACACCGCGGAATCCAATTAGACCTCGCCATCCCTGGGGGGCTGCGATCTGTGAAACTGTCGTTACTTTCGAGGCTTCCGGGGGGTTCCTGCATAGAGGGTACCGCGGCAGATTCGCAGATCAAATTAGACCTCGCATCCCTGGGGTCTTCGATCTGTGAACTGTCGCACTTTCGAAGGCCTGCGGGGGGTCCTGCACAGGGGTAATCGCGTCAGTTCGAATAGACCTCGGGGCCATCCCGGGGGTCTGCGATCTGTGAAACTGTCGCCACTTTCGAGGCCTGCCTGGGGGTCCTTGCATAGAGGGTAATCGGCGCAGATCCAAATTAGACCTCGCCATCCCTGGGGGGCTGCGATATGCGAAACTGTCGCCATTTTCGAGGCCTGCTGGGGGGCCCAGCACAGTGAGGGCCACGCGCGGATTCAAATTAGACCTCGCCATCGCTGGGGGGCTGCGATCTGCGAAACTGTCGCCATTTTCGAGGCCTGCTGGGGGGCCCAGCACAGTGAGGGCCACGCGCTGATTCAAATTAGACATCGCCATCCCTGGGGGGCTGCGATCTGCGAAACTGTCGCCATTTTCGAGGCCTGCTGGGGGGCCCAGCACAGTGAGGGCCACGAGCAGATTCAAATTAGACCTCGCCATCCCTGGGGGGCTGCGATCTGCGAAACTGTCGCCATTTTCGAGGCCTGCTGGGGGGCCCAGCACAGTGAGGGCCACGCGCGGATTCAAATTAGACCTCGCCATCCCTGGGGGGCTGCGATCTGCGAAACTGTCGCCATTTTCGAGGCCGGCCTGCTGGGGGGCCCAGCACAGTGAGGGCCCCGCGCGGATTCAAATTAGACCTCGCCATCCCTGGGGGGCTGCGATCTGCGAAACTGTCGCCATTTTCGAGGCCTGCTGGGGGGCCCAGCACAGTGAGGTCGCCACGGGCTGGGGG